CTGTATTCTGAGCTGGAGACGGGGCCTCCATCCTGCAGATCTCAAGACAGTCGAGTCATCTCTGTAGCTTCTACTTTATTCAAACTGAAAGGCCTTCACACACCAGGGACGTTTTCTTTTCATGCAATTCATTTGCACGTAAATATATTTTCTTACTGCCATGAGTACTTTCAGACAGAATGCAAATATTACGCAGTGAAAAGGTTACGTTTTTTGTTTGTTTTGGAACGAGATCGATTTTTCTGAGGTCTTACACCACAAATACAGAAATAGGACATTCACAGTTACAAGCTACAAATCAATCAGTGATTTCTTTCCCCATGAAAACATGAGGTTGTGAATCAGCAGCTCTTTGATGATTCCACTCATCAAAGTTTAGCTGGTAACCCTAGTTAGCATTTAGGCTACATCCACCCTACATTTCTACATTTCTATTTTAAAACGCATATCTTTTTCTAAGTTTAAACCGAGCATCCACACTACTCCGGAGTTTTAGAGCACCGAAAACGGAGTTTAGAAACGTTACCGAAAGCCGGGTAAGATTGAAAACTCCGGGGTTACCTCCTAGTGTGGACGGCGGAACCGGAGAAGTTTTAAAACAATAATAGAGACACCCACGTTCACTACTTGATTGAGTCTTAGCAGTCAAGACATTTCTTTCCCCGATTATCGATCGACTACCAGTTAATTCAACATGGATAACTGATTACAGACGTAGCTGATCTTGTTGTCTATACTAGCAGCTGTTGTGCAGTTAAATTCTGCATTTTGTAATTCTACTGCTGCTGACATGTGGAGGAAGCAGCTGTTATCGGAGCAATTACCAAGCGGCGTGTCCAGTGGCGTTATCAACCCTACGGAGCCGACGTCTGAAGTCACAGTTTGCGGCTTTGAGGAGGGCGGTGGACACAAAACGGAGGACTTTCCTTTTGTTATTGATGCTTATTTTGTTCTGCACAACTATTGTGAAGTCCACACAGAAACTGCAAAGGAACAAAAGCATAAATACTCTCCAGTGCGACAGGGACTTCAGCCACCGGCAGAGCTACGAGTGCGAGAGAAGACAACAATGAAACCGAAAGAAAACGAGTGAGAGACCAAATTGATTGACTCATAATCGAGGTAACTTTGTTCATTTTTAAGTAAATTAGTTGTGTGTATGTGTGTGTGTGAGAGAGAGAGAGAGAGAGAGAGAGAGAGAGAGAGAGAGAGAGAGAGAGAGAGAGATAAAGCAAGACTTACAGCGTTAACAAGTTTGAAAAATACCTCCACAAAATTTGTCCGTTTGAGTATATAGAGGAAGATTTTAGAGGAAGATCTAAGTATCAAGCACTACCTTAAGTTACCTGCAAACTCATAATTGGTGAAAAAGGTGACAAGCACCGAAACCCTATTGGGGGGGGAGGGGCATGCTTCCCCAGGAGAATTGTATTTTAAATAGGAGCTTGAAAATGTAGCATTCTGGTGTACTCTGAGAATAAAATTAAGTGATAAGACAATATTTAATAAAGTAATAATTTATTTTAAGCAAAAAACGAATTTATTATTCAGTTATTAATCAGTATTTCAGCTCCATTATTATTAACCTTTATTTAGACAAAATCCATTGAGACCGAGGTCTCATTTTCAAAAGTTTGTCATATAAAAACAGATAGCAAGAACCATCGCCTGTACAAAATAAAGTGATTAGTTTTCATTGAACCCTGTTACTGTATGTCTTCATATTAACTTCCACTGTTACTGTAAAGTTGTTAGAATTGTGGCCTATCTTCTATTTACAATTAATATGCATTCAATCCAGTTACATTATTAAAATTAAAATGATAATCTACTACAACTCACAACTACATGCTCAAAAAGCGAGAAAAAGGTATCCGGGTCTTGTTCACAAGGTAGCTTATCAAGAGTAAAATAATAGCTGTAATCTATACACACCTCTGCATTAGCAACCTGCTGAAATGAAGGTACAGGTACCTTAACACCCTCTCATTACTTCAGGGTTCTTGAGAGCAACGTGGGACTGTTGGGACTGTTAGTACACTGGCTGTGGTCATTACAGTGAACATGTCTGTCAGTGTGATGAGAGGGCATGTGAGCCCCTGTTGCTGTAGTTCATCTCCTCGGAGCAGAGGCTGCATTTAGCATACCCTGCCTTATCAATATATTTAAAACACTGACAGCGGGAAGCTGTACTCACGTCTGTTTAGACCTCCACCTTTATCCAGGCCCAGCTCCTCACAGCTCAGCCCTGCATCAAGATGCGCTACACAAACAGCCTCCTCTTCATTAAGCTCTTTGACCACATCATCTCATCAGTATCTGGGCAAATTTTTCGTGGTCATAAAAGTTATTATTAACAGGAAATCGCCTCATTCTACTTTGAGTTAAAAAAAAAAACAACCTGCAACCAGATGCGCCGGTGTTTGGGTTTAAAGTTAATGAGTGACCGCGTGAAGTGAACCGGAACATGGGGGGGCTGCATGTTTCATCACGTTACGTTTTTTCCTCCTAAATCGCGATAATGATGAACGTTAACAGTCGACAAAATTTCGCATGCAGTGGACGTCAACTTAACCCAGCAAGTCTGACCTGTAACGGAACATAACGTAACTTAAACTTTAACGGAGGGAAATGAAGACGATGTAGACATCTTAACGCTGATTGGCCAAGACTCGACACGTCACATCAAAGATGTTTTATTGCGAAGATCACGACATCACCTTTTCTCACTCCAATCTGAGAAACGCTGGCGGGCCAGTTTTCAGGCTTTTAAGCAAAAATGTATAAATGTGGAAGTAGCCTCAGACTCTTACAGGAGGAGCTCCTCTCCGCCTCAGCATGATGCCATCTGTGAGTAACGCCTTCCCTGTCTCTTCAAACAGAGCAGAGTGCTCCAGCTCACCGTGGCTCTTCAACTCTGTGTACTTGTCTACAAACCTGCGGGAGCAAAGTGAAACATTTAGTCACATTGTCAAGGAAATAATATCTTTTATTTAACTCAATGAATTAATTAACTTTATTCAACTGTCTTTTCAACCCTGCACTTGGTGTGCAAACACTACAGATTCTGGAACACACATAAAAACAATTCACAGCCAAATCATTTAGATCAGTGGTCCCCAACCACCGGGCCGTGGGTCATTTGGTACCGGGCCACACAGAAAGAATAAATATTATATTATTTCCGTTGTATTGATTATCAGTCTGAAAGAAGATTTATTTTGAAAAATGACCGGATTCTCTCGCACTTTCATCCGCCTGTATCGCTTGACATGTCAGGACGCTTGTCTCGGTCACGTGATACGTTACCTCGAAAGTTAAGCCCGAGAACTAGCGAAAATAAATACAAAACGTTTGGAGAGCTTCTTTGCAAAGGGGGAAAGGCCCACTAAGGAGACAGAAGAAGACCCAACAACTTACACGAAAATGAAAGCTTCATTTAACAGACAATATCAGGAGTCTAATTAAATATCAGGAGTAATTCTTACACGCCAAACCCGCTCTGCATAATATGTGGCCACACAGGAAGATCAGCTGCTGGAGATTGTAAATGACGGTGGCTTTAATAGTATGTTTGAGACAACAACTCTGCTGGTGTTTTGGATTAAAATCAAGGCCGAGTATCCTGAGATCGCCACTAAAGCACTCAAAACCCTGCTTCCATTTCCAACATCCTCTTTGTGAAGCGGGATTTTCTGCAGTGACGGCAATCAAAACAAAACGAAGTAATCTGGAACACACTTCGGGTGTCATTGTCTCCCATTACCCCCAGATGGGACCGTCTCGTTGCAGAGAAACAAGCTCAGGGCTCCCACTGATTCAGCGTTATTGTGAGTTGTATTTATTTATGCATTTTATATTTGTTTTCATGCCGATCGTATCATTTTATTTCATCGTGTTTATCCGCCACACCTTGAAGGCCGGTCCGTGAAAATATTGTCTTACATGAAACCGGTCCGTGGTGCAAAAAAGGTTTGGGGACCAATGATTTAAATCACACCTGACATTCTGACGGGTGCTTTCGTGCTTGTATATCATATCTTTTCATAAATCACTCCAAAACCGAAATGATGATTGGGGGGAAACATACCTCTGACACGTCGAAACAAAGTTTGACTTGGCCAGATCCAAAGGCCGAGGACCCGTCCCATACTGCACATAGAACTTCCTGAAAGGCAGACTTGTATGGGTGAGTGGGGCCTCAACAATAAGGATGTTCACTTGCGCGGCGCAAGTAGAATACCATGTCGGGCGAGTAACTTCAGCAACTTACTCGCCCAAGTAAGTGATAAAAACAATTTAACACATTGCCTGTCCTTTGCTGATAATGGTCGCTAAGGGGTGTTCTGATTTATTTACTTAAAGCTACTATAAGAAACTTATTGTGTTGGTTTTGGCGGTCCCTGTGGACAAAAGTTAAGCACCAAACTCCATTCAGAAAACCTCTCATTTCACTGCAATAAGAATCCGACAGTGTGCCCCTCTCAGTCCTGGTTCTTGGTTCTCTCGTGCCTCCCTTCCCTCCAGTGGGCCCAACAAAACGGCCTGGGACTCCAGCAGCGTGGTGTCGGTGTTAGCTCCCAGCGGGGACCGGAGGAGCAGTGAGGAGAAGCTCTGCTCCGGGAGGAGGAGGAGGCGCTGCTGCCGGGAGCTGAGCTCTCCTCCTACCCCCGGAGCCCCGACTGCAGGTCGAAGTCCATGGTGGACTGGTCTCTGCTGGAGGTAGTGCTGGGCAGTATACCGATTCAACCGGTATTAATTTCCCGTATGATATGAATTTTTCACACACCGTCATAGCCGAAACAACTGCTGTAACTCTTCAACAGGCAGCTAAATATATTGTTCCCCGCTAGGAGCGCTACGGTCGGAGCTACTTATCTTAAGTGTATTGAGAGGGACCCCTAATCATGGTTATAACACAACAATTAATAACCCACAACTAATGCTCTTTAAAAGCGCAAAACACCACGGCACACAACAGTTTGTGACAAATAAACAATTTGTAATACTAATAATTGTACATTTATAAAATAACACCGCCGAACGGCATGCTGGGTACAACTCGCTAGCTAGGCCGCTAGCACAACAGTTAACAGTTGAGAGAGGCTCCGTCGAATTAACGAACAGAAAAGAGCGATGCAGGATGAACAAAGACAGACCGGAGATGCACCGATAGTCTGTGCCCAAGAGAGGAGCTGTGTCTGCTGTTTGGAAGTGTTTTGGTTTTAAAAAATCCGACGTTTTGCGAGTTTCTCGAGCCACTGTTGTTGCCGCTGATGGTAACACGAGCAACTTACTCCATCACCTCAGCAGAAAACATGTGTTGGAATACCAAGAGTGTGATGACGGCCGTCGGATTCGAGGCCGTCAACCAGTAACGTTAACGCGAGTAAAGCCGAAGGGTCAGACATCGCTTGGAGAGGCATTTGCTCGAGGCAGCATATGACAACAAAAGCAAGCGGTGGAGCGACATTACAAACTCAATAATGATCCAGCTATGCAAGGACATTCGAGAAAGACAGGCTCAGAGCAATGATTAAAACGCTGGATTCAATGTATGTCTTACCGGGGCGACAATACTTCAGCCAAACTGCTATCCCAACATTATAGGAACAAACCCTATAGTAAGCAAAGCCTTTATACATGATGACATTAAAATATTTTTATATTCTATGTACTCCTGACAGTAGAGTAAGCCACTATAAACCTATATAAAAACAGTCAAGGAAAAAAAAAAAAATACCGTGATATACTGTGAAACCGCCAGAATCTTAAAAAATACCGTGATACACATTTTTGGTCATACCGCCCAGCACTAGATGGAGGTCCCACTGGAGTCTGAGCTTAAGAAGTTTCTTGGACCTGCATGATTTCATCTGATTTTGTGTGAAATCAGACCCATACACCAATGACTGTCTATTTTAAATTGTTATTCTTTAAGCCTATCTGTTTTATGGTCTGGACTTGTATCGTTCTTTTCTCAAAGTGCTTTAAAACTATATGTTCATTCACCCTTTCATACACTGATGGGAGGGGCTACCATGCAAGGTGCCACTTGCCCATCGGGACTATCTAACTAAGACTGATCCATACCCAGTAAAACGTTATTCACAGTAGCTTTAAATAAATATTAAACATGACAATTAACTTTAGTCTCTGTTGTTATTTGATACCTCCTGATAATTAAAACAATTTGTATTGAGGCAAGTAAAAATTTACTTTGGGCATGTAGATTTCTGACCTACTTTCTTGACCAAACACATTTATGTTGAACCCTGTCTTTCAACTACTTTTAGTGCTGAAATGAGAGCAGCTGATTCCCATTCAAACATTTTTTGTGAGTCCAGATGAGCTCTCAAATTAAATGGCCAGTTTCATATATATATTTCATAAACGTATTTATTACTGTATCACTCAATATATAGTGATGAAACTAGTGAATGACGGGCTAGGAGGGAACCAGTAAACGCACTGCGGTGTAGGGCTGGGCGGTATGACCAAAAATGCATATCACGGTATTTTGTAAGACTTTGGTGGTTTCACGGTATATCACGGGATTTTTTTTTTCCGCGTTAAAGCATTAATTAATTAACGTCGAAAAGAACCGGCCAGTCAACTGGCCAGCGAGCGGTGAACAGCTGTTTGTGAGGCGTGTCTTCCGTTCCGTCACTTCCTGTTCCCCTGGGTCCTAAGCCCCTCCAAGTACAGCTTCTTATCACCCTCTATGTACCAATGTACATTTATAACAAATACCACACATATTACACGGTAATCAGCATTGCATATGTGTCTAACCAAAATACCTTTTGTTGTTCAGTCTTTGTTCATCCTGCATCGCTCTTTTCTGTTCTTTAATGTGAAGTTACTGGAGCGACAGAGCCTCTCCCAGCTGTTAGCAGACTGTTGTTAGCGAGCTATACCCAGCATGCAGTTCGGCGGGGAAATTTTATCAATGTACAATTATTAGTGTCACAAACTGTTGTGTCGTGGTGTTTAGTTGTGGGTTGTTAATTGTTGTTATAAAGTTATAACCATGACTAGGGTTCCCTCTCAATACAGTTAAGACAGCTAGCTCCGACCGTAGTGCGCTCAGCGGCGAACAATATATTTTGCTGCCTGTTGAAGAGCGACAGAAGTTGTTTCGGTATGACGGTATATGAAAAATTCATATCATACGGGAAATTAAAACCGGTATACCGGTTGAACCGGTATACCCCCCAGCCCTACTGCGGTGTATCCACAAACAGTTAATAAAGCTATGAGCTGTGACAAAACAAAACCTACTGATTTAATTTATTCAGGTAAACAGGCCTGCTGAACTAATCGGTGTTCTAGTAAACTCAAGTGCTATGATACATGAAGTAGGGGATTCCTAACAAAATATGATTCAAACAGCCATGACTTTGTTTGTGGTTACCAGTATCAAATAACAACACTCCCGATCAATGTGTTATTTTCACAATATTTACACAGAAAGCATGTAGGTGCTTAAACATGGAAGCACATATAGTCACCATTGTGAGTACTCGACTTACGCTCTAACTTCATCCTCTCTGTAGAAGATTTCAGGCACAGTTTCCTGTTTGTTGGTACAGGGTCTGGTGTGTGGCTTCACATAAAGTGGGTCCCTCTTGGGTGGAAAAGCCTCATATACATCATACCAGATGGGTTTCTCTGACGGCTTTATGACCCCAGAGCGCATCAGATCTCGAACCCTGTTCATCACACAATTGATCATCAAAATGACATTTGACAAAAATATGATTCATTGTAAAGCAGAGACTTACACAGAGATTAATGATGTTGCTGGCTTAAACTCAAAGATCGTATGTATTAAGCTGCTTTAAAGTATGTTCTTGCTCTTGTGTTTCCAAATTATTAGAATGAGCAATAAGAATAAATGTCACATACTCTGTATTATAATATCCTCAGCAGCCAGCACTGAAGAATTAGTCACTTTGATCGCATTTAATTATGCTGAACTCCTCAATCCTTCTTTTTTACTGATCTGTTTAACTCATTAGTCAAGAGCTTTGGACCATGGTTAATACCCCTTCCGATCAGTTGTATGCACACAAACATGATCCGTCTCTCTCGCATGCTTATGTCATCACACCGTATCCTTAAACTCGTTTGACCGGTCCACGCTTGAAAAGAGAAATTAATTTGCCATTAGTTTCGTCCACATGTTGCATGTCACCGCGTAACGTTAACGTGGTGACGATGACTTATGAGGGTCAGCTAATGATGTCACCGCTGCTGCAGGAGAGACATTTGATTATGATAACGGTTAAGTGATTCCTGAAAACCCTGTTTTACTCACTTAAACAGCATGACGTATTCCGATTAAGCAACACATAACGTAAATCTGTGGTAAACAACATTTTTTGTGGACCTGATCCGATGGCTTTCAATAGGTAATGGATATGGCTACCATTAGCCATTGTTAGCTGCCTAGCTACTACAAGCTTCTAAGCACAGCGTAAAATGCTGCTCACTTACCGGGTGAATACAGTTCCAAACCTCTCCAGTCTGCTGCCAGCCATTGCTGTTTTTTCATTGACAGCGGTCACGCTCGCTTACAATGAATTGGTCCAGTGCTAACATATCTCAGACATCCGGTGGGAGCGTCTATTTCTTCTTCTTTGGCGGATTTCCGACAGACCAGATGCTTTGCGGCACATTTCTGCCTCCCTTGGGTCGGAAGTGTGTTGCAGCTCAGATTATTTCCAAAGGCATAAACCTGTCGCAGCAGACAATTCAAGGACTGCTCCCCCAATCTTGAACTGGTTGTCGGTCAGGTTCAGCAGGCTCTTCATTGTGATTGTCTCTTCTTCTTCTGCAGAGAAAATCTGCCCTCAGCCCTCCATTGGCCTCCATTCTGGAAACAAGCCTGAAACATCAGTTCAGACCGGATACAACTGTTAGCGTCTCCTCCCTGAGGCGTGCTCTGTATGTTTCTTCCCACAGACCACTCTGATGGACAGTTAACCAGTGAAAAAATGAAAAATCTAATATAATGATTCAATATAAGAGATACATAACTGATATTGAAGCATAGACATTCAGTACTAGGGACAAAATAAAACAATCACATAATCCTCTTCTTGGTCTGTAATTCATGTTTGGTGAGAAAAGTTCATTGAGTTCAGCTCCCTGAAGTCAAGCGTTTACTGTTGTAAGTATAACCAGCAGTGGAGACATACAACATACTGTCAATTACACCGTGTATTTCATACCTGAGCCTTCAGTGCTGTCCTACTACAGTTGAACCACCTCCTAACAGTGGCAGGCCGTCAGGGCCTGCAAGGCCTTCTCTGCTGGCCTAAACAGAATCACAAAGTTATAGCTATTTTATAATTTAATAATTTTTCTTAAATACACTACATGTATTATAATTTATAAAAATATTTTCCCATTATCTTATTTTCTCATTGCACAGCTACTGTCTTCCTCAATTGCTCTGCTTCCAGTGCAGCTTGTTTTAAGGAGAGCTTTTATCCAATCAGATTTCACCTCTGTGTCTCTAGGTAAGAAGAGAGGCCCGAGGCCTGCAGACTCACAAGTGAATCCCTTTGCAGTTTAAGTGAATGGGAAGATATTGTTGATTGTCATAGTGTTCAACCAATCAGATCTTTAGTTTGACATGTTGGGTGTATTCTTTGACGTGTTGTGGAGGCTTGGATTCTACCCCACACGAGAGCAGGCCCCTGATTCACGTTCCACTGCTGTTTACAGTAGAGACGCTTCGATAATAAAATCTACCATAAACTGGTTTACAATCAAAAGTATTTAATCCTATTGAAGCTAATACAATTACAAAGTGAAGCACATTAATTACAGTATCTATAGATATATATTCTCTGCGCAGAGAAGCATCTTTACCCTCATCCCAGATGGGAGCACAGCTGCCCTCACGTTGAGACCAGAGGAAAGAGACTGAATTCTTCCCCAGCACTTCCGTTCACAGTTTGAAAACCCCTCCCCTTTGTCTAGCTTAGTTCCTATTGGCTAGCTTCAACAGTCTCCTCCTGGTATCAGACCGTTGAAGACCCTCGCACGGGTACAACCTGAAATTGCCTGTCTAGACATCTGTCTGTCCCTAAGCTTAACTCTTAACATACTATATTAAAGATAAGGATTTGCAACTTTTGGCAAAAACTTCACAAGTTTTACAAGCATAAATGGGACTTCCAAGTACTTGCTATATTATTATCCCCCACCTGTAAGAGGTGCTACTAATTCTACTAAGAAACACTTCTAACTATACATTCTAAAACACTCCTATATTTATGACTAATTATGAATTCTTAAACACTTCTACACCAAAGTACGGCGGGACACGTACAAGCTACGGTGCTCTTGAAAACGTTTGGAGGGACCCGAGTGGATCTCCAGATCAACGAACAAGT